TGTGTGACTCTGTGTGTGTGTGTGTGTGTGTGTGTGTGTGTGTGTGTGTGTGTGTGTGTGTGTGTGTGTGTGTGTGTGTGTGTGTGTGTGTGTGTTTGCCTGGCTAATGTGTTTTGTGAGGGTCTGAAATCACTTTAAGGTTGTGAAAGCAGTCGTCTCTTTGTTACACCATTAAGTGTGTTCTTATTAATCAACAAGATCAGAAGAGTGGTTTTTCGTCTAGAGAAATTATCAATCTCATTGTGTCACATTCATTTTTGCAGCAAGTAGCTTTGGAAAAAGCACTGTGTTAAAGTCAGTACAGGCTGCAGCTGTTATTTCATTGTGGCAAATACATGTAATCACAGTGTCATCATGTCTGTTCATCTCGTGTTTAGGTTGATACACTTGCATATTGAAAACGAACCCATCTCAATGGATTGTTGTGGAGTTGATGCTGATTTCAGATTGAATAAAGGAGTTGTGTAAAGAAGACAGAGACTTAGACTTGATGCCTTTTAAACTGCACAAGCCGATGCATGTCTGTATAATTGTAGACATCTATGTCGGCATGAAACTGCTGAAGTTAACCACACCCATACCAATAACTTCAAAACCTGACCTAATCATGCTGAAAAGCTATAGTTTATTTTTCATTCTTCAGTGAGAGGTAGATGGCTTCAAAAGGTTTGCTTTCTAATGAAAAAGAAACCACCTTGTAGTAATCATGATGTGTGTTTTAAAATAATATTTTAAAAACACACCAAAATCATTATCAAGCCAGACTTTTATAAAATGGCCAAGAGAGTAGTTGGTGGGCTCAGGTCAGATAGTAGAGGGATACTTTGTGGCAACTTTTATTAACTGCAGTCTAAGGTGGCTAATGATGCATCAGAGCTGTACTTTTTATTTTCATTGAATAAACATGTGGCATGACTTTGTGTCCTTCTACAGGACTTCTAATTTGTTGTTTTGTGATTACACTACACTGTTTGACCTGCATTAATTCCTGCTAATTGCCCAGATTAAATGTATGTAATTAAGATTGATGTTTAAATTAGGGAAACATAACTACCTGTATCAAAATTGGGCATTGAACATGTGTCACTTGCACAGGATGTGCCGCTCTACTCTTCCTTGTGTCAGACGATTTTTAGATGTGGTGTTCTCCTCCTTCTCACTACTTATAGATTGCTGTGACGTTTGCCATAGTCTTCGGAGTCATCCTGTACCGGATTAGCATTAAGGCAGCGCTGCACGTGAGCACCTACCCTGCAGCACGGTCCAACATCAGAGCCACTGTCAAAACCACCGCCGCCATCATCAACCTCATAATCATCATCATCTTAGATGAAATCTATGGCGCCATCGCCCGCTGGCTCACCACACTGGGTGAGGCACATTTAACTAAAGGCATGAGTGATAGAACTAAACATACAGACAGACATCAGAGGTGTTCTTCTAATCAGAAAAGGTGTTTTGCTTTATAAAGAATTATTAAAACATAAAGCTTGTCTTTGTTTGCTACATAATTGTTAAAGTTCATTTCTGCTTACACATGTTGTGTTGTGCTGTGTTGTGTTTGTTGTTCCGTCTCTGTGACATTTGAATGTGTATTCAGTTTGTTTTCACATTCATCTGCTGAAGGAGGAGCATTTTTTCTGAGCTTTTTAAACATGAAACAAACATATTTTGTTGTGGTACTGTCTACTGAATTTAACTACACCACAAACTGAGAAAGATTATTTGGGCGGCCGCGGACAAGACTTTTACAGTTGGGCCTTTAAGTTTGAAATTCAGATCATTAAGGACAGCCTGGGAAATTATGTAAATGCTGTCAATGTTTTTATTCAATTCCAAGAAGATATAATTCACAATTGAATAATTCAGGGATAGACTGGTGATCTGCCACATCTCTTACATTTATATTTGTTTTCTAATTTTCCAGCCAAACCCATGCAAATAGAGTTTTTTCAATGTAGAAGATAGAAACACAGCATCTTAGAATAACATTCTTATTCATTGTCATAATGCACTTGCAACATTGTAAGGTTAGGTTGTTGCACTGCCCTCAGTGGCTGTACAGGACTAGCTGTGTCTCATGTACTCTCTTCTGTCATCATAACTCCTATTGGCTTTTCACATGTTGCACATTCAATCTCAGTTTCATCTATTTTTTCTATCTTATCAATATGTATGGATATAAGTAGACCGCTCTATGAGGAACTTTACATTGGATGTGGCTAAGCAGACAAGAAAAGTTGGAAGAGTCTACAGCTCTAAAATCTTCCCATAATTAGTCCACGAATCTTGTCTGCAGTTAGTTCTGCTTATTTGCTGCAGTTTTCTCTTTGATTCATTTGTTTTCATTAAAGAGATAGTTCACAGAAAAAGGAAAATGACATGACCCATACTTCAAACAATTTTTTCATTCTTATGAAATTTTGGAGGTCAAGGAACGAGTCATGGGAAGAGCACATTCTACACCAATGCTCCAATTGGCTTCCCTGTCTAAATATGCTTCATTGAAAATGTTTTAAAAGTTAAATATGACAATACTTAATGAGAAACAAAATTAAAGACCATGAATGTCTTAATTTATTGACAAAACAGTACAACAAACAGTCTGCCTTAACAGTAATACTGTTAAATAAGTAATGGTGATATAGTATAAATGATACTAAATAATCCTAATAAAGTCACATGTTTCTCTTTTTCAGAGGTTCCAAAGACAGACAAGAGCTTTGAGGAGCGCCTCATCTTCAAAACTTTTATCTTGAAGTTTGTCAATGCCTTCACACCCATTGTCTATTTGGCCTTTTTCCGGGGCAGGTAAGAGAGCGACTTCTCACACCTTGTTATTTTTACATTGTTATGTTAAATCATTTGAATCAAACTAATTCCATGGTCCATTTGTAATGTAAAAACTCATCTGCTGCTGCTTTCACCTAACATTTGGCAAACCTTTGCTTTAATACCATATACCATGCATATGGCTATGTTTGGTCCACAGGCTTGTTGGGCGGCCTGGAAACTACTTGTATGTTGTTGGATCATACAGAATGGAAGAGGTAATTCTATACTATATACGACTCCACTTCACTGAGGTTTAGGTTGTTTACTTTATGCTGTGTATATTAAATTATATTTTCTTGAGGTCCCATGAAAAGATGGGAAATTGATAATACAATAAAGCTTGTTATCAGAGCAGAATTGTTCTTTAAAGCCTTTATCAGAAAGGACTAATTCATTTTAACTGATTATTATTCGGTGAATTGCAGTGGACACAGCTGATCATCATGCATCAATCACGTATCCTTGCTGCAGTGTAGGGTTTGAATACAAGGAACCTTTTATTTAACTGTGTAGTACATTGTTCACACACTGAATATTTCTTTAAAAAATCTTGAATAATCCTGAGCCTCCACACAGATATCTGTATCCTCATATAATGTGGCCGTGTCACTTGTCCCTGTTCTCTCATGCTCTTCTGCCTCACTTTGATTATGGCACTTTTTATCGTTCTCTTCTTCTCTCCCCAGTGTGCTCATGCGGGCTGCCTCATGGAGTTGTGCATCCAGTTGTGCATAACCATGCTGGGCAAGCAGCTCATTCAGAACAACCTGTTTGAGATCGGCATACCGTGAGTGCAAAGCATTCTCTGTGTAACGTTCACAAACACAGACACTAACACCAACACTCACACAGATGACAAGCAAAACAATAGATCACGACATATGAGCTCAGCAAGCCACAGAACAAATTGTGCACACCTACTCACTTGTACTTACATGTAAGAGCAAATATTTAAATGCCTGTCTGGTTTACAGACACATACCTGGAAATCAGACACACCTTGCGGAAATCTGGGTTCTGCAATTTGTCCTTGGTCTGTCTTCATCCTTACAGTCCACTGAGGGGTAGAGAGTGCACTGTGTGTTTGGTTCCTCTTCTTTATCGAACAGTCCACCAACAGCACACATCTGAGCTGTGTCACATTTATAATTCATAGATCTTATTGAACTCCAACAATAATACACAACCAAATGGATGTGTCACCAACTATCTGCCAATAGATTAAATACTTTTCCAGTGACTTCAGACCAGGTTGTTGATGGTCATAGAACATACATGATACCAACATCCATTATTGTTTTCCTCCCCTACTTTTTCTGAGGCTTGCTGAATTTCTTGGCACATTACTGACACCAGCCATCACTCATTGCAATAACATGAATTCGACTAATTTCATATAACATGTATAATAATATATTTGCTGAGCCACACTACCATCCACTATTGATCAGAAACACTGCAAGGTACCCTGAAGGATAATACTCTTATTGATCTATTAACAAAAGTGAATGTGATATTCTAATCACTGTTTTTTGGTTTGTACAGGAAGCTGAAAAAACTTCTGCGGAAGAGGAAGTCAGAGTTGGACTCAAAGCAGGAGGAGGAGCTGAACAAAAGCCTGCATCGTCACGAGAAAGACCACTTGCTGGGTCCATTTGTTGGCCTCAGCCCCGAGTACATGGAGATGAGTAAGTTTAAACATGAATGTTCGAAGGTTTAAGGAAGTATCGGCAATCACTATTATTATCATTTGAAATTAGAAATATTTTGATATTAGTTCAAATGAATTTATACATTTTGAAATACATTTAGAGGGGCTGTGTGATATGACCAAAATCTAAAAATCCAGACAGAGGTCACGTTATTTCGAGATAATTTTTCATTACTTCTATCTTTTCTTGTCCATGTAAACAGGTTTGCAGATGTAAGTTTCAACTGCAGCTGTTGTCTGCTTCATTCTCTGTGTCTCTTTGCTGTATGTTGTTATATGTTATGGCTGTTATCTATAGACTCTGAAATTAATATATGTGTTTTAAAAGAGGTTATTTATGTTTATGAATACTGAAAAGAAATTACACTCTGCCTCTATGTTGAATTTAAAAGTTTGGAGTTAAAAGATAAGGAAATGGTTGGAGTCTCTGGGCTGAGCTGTTGGATGCAGTAAAACATAGCACTTAGTAAAACAACATGGCGTGGAGTTTAAGGTGAAGCAGCCTCACCCAAGTAGATAATCACCTGCAACCACCCACTCTATTGTATTTTCTTGGTCTGAACACGTTACTCTGTAATTTTGGCTTGAGTCAGTTCATATTTTGTCTTATTCATACAGTCTTTAGGTGCAGTTGATGTATCTGTGCTGATGCAGAGGTAAAGGCTGAGGTAGTAGCTAGTGGAAGGGACACGGAGCAGGGACAGGAGCAGAACAGGAGGAGTGGTAGCAGTGGAGGTGGTCAGGAGGAGTATATCAAGATGCTTGATGACAGATGAGGTGCAGCTGGTGAGGCTCTGCTCTGACTCCGGTGCACCCGTAGGTAATCACACACAGGAAGAACTACTCAGGGAGTGGCAGCAGGTTAGCAGTACCCAGAACTAGAGGTAGAGGGCATGGTAGGAGCAGTTCAAGGGGAAGATGTAACAAGTTTTCAGGCCCCTAAAAAAGAGACTGGAAAAATTGCTGGTGCATTTTAATATGAAAACCTCAGGGCTGTGTTTCTGTCTTGAGGTGCAGAATCAAAGTTATTTTGGAAACAAGAATGCACTCACCTATACCTTTTTTTCTAATTGTCTCTTATCAATGACATGACCAGTGTTGCTAATAGTTACTGTAAATAACTGTTTCACCTCATCATCAGTCCCAAGAAAAGCTCACCATTGCTATTCCTCATTCATAGTATTTTCTACAACTAAGCAACAATCTGCAGTGACAATTCAATTCAATTTTATTTGTATAGCGCCAAATCATATTATATACATTATCTCAAGGCACTTCACATAGTAGGTCAAGACCTTGAAATCATATTAATAAAGAGAAACCCAACAGTTCCCACAATGAGCAGCACTTTGGAGACTGTGGAGGAAAAACTCCCTCATTAACAGAGAGAAACCTCTAGAACCAGACTCAATGTGGACGATCATCTGCCTCRACCGGTTGGGGGGAGCAAAGAAAAAGGGGAGGAGAGGAGAGATGGGTGGAAAAGAGAAGAGAGAGAGATAGTGTGCATTCACACGTACATGAATAGTGTAATGGTGAATAGTCATGTGAAATGCTTTTTCAGGTGTTGGTATGAATATTTCTAATGTGGAGTTAAAATGCTCATCTGGTTAAGGATCGTTTTCAATTCAAAAAGCTGTTTTAAAATGGAAGCATAGGATGTTCCCTTCAACGAAGGTCATTACTTTAACAGTCTTATCTTTGGCGAATAAGTTATGTACAGATCAAAACTAACAGAAATAACGTCTGTGTTTACTTTTGCTCTTTCTATGCTCCTTTTGCTTGACTTTTCAAATGTCAGCACCATTAGTCGGCTTCTTGGTGTGATATACAAATGAATCGCACTGTTGAGGCACACTGCGTTGACCTTTAATTGAATTTTTTTTAAATCCAGATTTAGAGCAGAGAGAATGTCAACCAGTGATCTGAAAACTTTGGCTTTATTATGCTTCATGTCCACCAGACATTCCTCTGCATGCTCGTATCTTTATTGATGATTTGAGTGTGGCTGGTCAGAGCTGTAGCAAATCTAGTAAACAAAAGCGTCCCTGAGAGGCTGAAGTCAGGCGTGAATATTTTAACGACTCGCTTACCAAAAAAAAATCACTGATATCCGGAAAATCTCTTTAAATTTTGTATTAAAGAAAAAGATGATAAACTTGTGATGTGCACAATCTCATAAATTGAAGCAATAACAGATACCAAAAGAGTGTAGCAACCAACTAACCCCACAAAGGTGAATAGGTGCCCATATAAGTAACCAACCCGCCCACATCCTATGTGACCTACTTTCTCCTGAGTCAATATGATTTCAAATAAACAATAACTAACACATAAAAATAAAAATAAAACATTAAACACCTTGTATCATTTGCAAAAAATATATATTCTTTCCAAACTCATTTATGGCTCAATATTCAAGATACATACAACTTCCTTCCATTTGATTACTAAGTATTTCTGGGATGAACAGTACACAAATGTTTGAAACTCTGTTTGTTCCTCTAAAGCTGCTTTCAGACATTCACTGAAATCTGGAGATTCCCCACCCTTTCTCCACAGAAAGTCAGAATAATCCTATGTGAGAACATAGTGGGGAATCCCCCGCTGGATTTACTGCGAGCGAGTGGGGGGGTGGTGTCACTTCATGAGACGGAGGAATAAATGAAAAAAGTATATCTCAAGGTAAAAGAGTGGTGTCTGCTTCTGCCGCACGTGGCTGCCCCACCGATCGCTTTAATAATGCAGATGAGGATGTGTTGCTGATGTGTTGTGCATGTGTGAAAAGCAAACTGCGGGAAACTCAGCACCACATCCACAAAAATAAATTATCCATGAGTAATATAACTATCCATGACAATACCCAGGTTGTGTAAACAGATTACAAAAATTTCCTCTGAAATCGATCAGTAACAACAACAGCTGTAGATATCATTTGCTTCTCAGGTGTAACAAACTCTTGTTGTAAGAAAGTGAAGGGGGGTAGCATATACTATATATAATATATATATATATAATATAACTTGTAGTTTGTTGTTTTGGCAGTTTAGTTTCCAGCAGTGGTAGACAGCTTTTTCGGATAAAACAACCTGCCAACATTACTTTGACTTATGTTTTACTTTAAGAATTGGATACAGTATTTTGTAAGACACTGGACCAAAACAGAGATAAAGAGTGAATATTGGACTTAACTTCATCTTGTGGACACAAACCGTCATGATAAAGACACTCATGGTAGATGTGTGCTGAATCCTTAGAAGGTGAGGTTTAAAAATAATTAGGAGGACACAAGCACATTATATATTCATGCTCAAACACCTGAGATGAGACAATAAAAGGAAAACTGAAGCACAGCTTAGCTACATAGCATTATGACGCACATCAGTGTGGTCATCATTATTTCTACATTAAGAAAACATCTTGATGACACATCTCTTTGTTTTAAGGGTATGCACTAGAATCTAGTGACTAGATGATAACAAATCCAAAAATACTCTAGCCAAAAATGTCTACATTTATTTTTAATTTAAATTTGATTTTTGCCTCTCAACCTCCAAACCCTCTTTGTTTAGCTCCACACTAACTACCCCATCCATGTTTTCCACAGATAATCCATAAAGCTTCACAGATATTCAGTTGAATATGTAATACAACCGATTCTACCATGCACTATGGGTAAAGTGAATGTGTAATGAGAAAATGATGGCATCACACTAATAACTGAAGGCAAAGGTAAATTAATAGGTTAAAGGTAAAATGTAGATTGCACCTTGTTGTGTAGGTTTAAACTGCAGCTTCATTTTGGTCTAATCGATATTAAAATATAGAAGTACAGTTATCACGCTATCTACTGGTGTATTCATTGCAAAATATCAGTACCTGTCTCTGATACAGTCTGTATCAGTTGTTTCATATTACTGTATGTGTAATGAACCTGTGTTTACATGAATGCATGGGGTAGCTCAGGAATGGAGAACATATGAGTCTTATTGTTTACCATGGCTGAATTGTGCCTGTCCCCACATGTTCATCCAGGAACTTGAGCTAATTTTTCCTATTGTCTGTTTCTGTAGTAATCCAGTTTGGAATGGTTACTCTTTTCGTGGCCTCCTTCCCTCTGGCTCCACTCTTCGCTCTTCTGAATAACATCATTGAGATTCGCCTGGATGCCAAAAAATTTGTTATGCAGCTGCGCAGGCCAATTGCAGCCAAAGCCAAAGACATTGGTAGGTGTTCACTGCCCATTTTCCACCGTTCCTACAGCACTCGAACACACAAAAATAGAAAGCAAATGTTCAATACACAATACTAGCATTGCATGGCAGATACAAAGATCTATTCGCTTCTTGGGGGAAAGCAATGGATGCCACAAGGATAGCTGAGTTTAACAAATGAACAAAGACCAACTCATTGACTTAGGACCTGAATAATACAAGGATAGCAGCTCATAGCTGTCTCAACCTGTTGCACCATGGGTCAGATGAAAAGGAGTGCATGCAAAAACTCACAGCTTATATAGGGAACTAATCAAATCAGAAACCAGGAAGTAAGAGGTGCTAAGGCCTACCCATCCCAACAGTAGCCCTGGAGGGACATTTCACTACCCCCTACACAAAGATTGAGGGCTATGGATTTTCCCTCCATCAATTAAGTTGGAAATGCACCAGACATACAGCTTCAAAACCAAACAACAAACTAACACAGAAAAGGATTACAAATTTCAAGTTTTAAAATGTACTCTATGGTTTACATAAGGTAGTGTGATGTTTTGACATAAATGGAAAATAGTCTCAGAACCTATGGTCCTAGTGTGCAGTAATATTATATACATCAATAATAATATATCATAATATAATAAAAAATTTAGCATACACCTAACATTCCTAACCACTTAGTTGTATCACTCCTTTAACACAGCACAGTGGTCTTTCCACCTCTCCGACTGCTGCTTACTGACCCTGTACAAAAGTTGTATGTTGAAACTGCTGTATCCTCTGTTCTTACCTTCATGACGAGTCTGCCTTTCTGCAGGTATCTGGTACAACCTTTTGAGAGGCCTCAGCAAGGTAGCAGTCATTGTTAATGTAAGTCTTTTATCTTTACAAGCACTATACACTTACAATCCCAAAGGGCTGGACTGACAATGCTATATCACATGGGCTATATCCTTCTTACTGGGAGCCAAATGTAAACAAAAGTGGACCTTAAAGGGATAGTTCACTGAAAAATGAAAATGCTCTCATAATCTCTTCACCACTATGCCAATGGAGGGGTGGGTGAAGTGTTTGGTCCCCAAAACACGTAGCAGCCAAATCCAATACAAGTCAGTGAAGTCTATGGTGACCTAGTCTTCAGACGTAATAAAAGAACAGAAAAAACATAGCCCATCTCCGCCCATCACTCTCCTCCTCTCATCCATGCCTTCAGAATCCGCTATTGCAACAGTATCCTCTATGGCACATCATCCAAAGTACTAAATGAACTACAGACCATCCAGAACTCTGCTACTCGCCTGCTCAACCACTCCAGCTCCCGTGATCACATTACCCCTGTTCTCCAGAATCTCCACTGGCTCCCCGTCCCACAACACATCCAATACAAAGTCCTCCTCCTCACTCATAAAGCCCTCCATAACTAGGCTCCCTCTTACCTCACCAATCTGCTACATCATTCACATTTTTTAAGACATTTACACCATGTCTTAAGCCTAGATTTTCGCTGATATTTTCGTACGAGGTGTGTTCACAGACCCTCTGACACACTATGTTTAGCCACTTCCAGCGCCACACTCCAGAAGTGTTTTGTGGACTCAAACACTTTACCCACGCCTCCACCGGCATAGTGGCGAGTAGATGATTTGTTCATTTTCATTTTGTGAACTATCCCTTTAATTCCTTACTCTAAAAAGCAACCTTGGGCACCTTAAAAGGTTCTGTTGTGAGGTGGTTGGCTCATGAGCTTTCTCCGGTTACTCTGGCCTCCTCCCACAGCCAAAAGAGATGCAAATTAGGGTTAGGTTAATGAGTGTGAAGGGTCCTTGGACTGCATACTGGCCCTACAAAACACTGGCGACCTGTCCAGGGTATATCCATCTCTCGTCCAATGTCAACAGGGATTGGCTCCAGCTCCTCCCACAAAGCTGCAAAGGAAAATTGGTATAGATAATGGATTGATGGAGTTATGAGCAGCCTACCTTGCACTGTGGATGTGAATCAGCAGTAAGATGATGTATTTTACTCATCAATATAGCATTTCTAATGGCAACATAGTTCAGGGGAAACAACTGTCTTGATTTTTGACTGAGGGCGTGCCAACGATCAGACTACTGATTGTTGGCGACCCTCACCCCTGGTATAGAGCAAGCAACAATCACATCCGTAGAACTGCCTTTACTTTGTTTGCAGGTCCAAATAGAATTACTATTTAAAATATGGTGTCATGACACAGATGTCATAGTTTGACATCTTAAGCCCTGGAATCAAGAAATCCAAGCAGAGTCTTAATTTATTTGATTTCATCAAGATAAATGAATCTGTCAAATAGAAAGGAAGACATAATATTATAAAAGGTTTTATCTCCCTCAGGCCTTTGTCATCTCCTTCACCTCTGACTTCATCCCACGGCTGGTCTATCAGTACATGTACAGCCCTGACGGCACCATGCATGGCTTTGTGGATCACACTCTGTCCTACTTCAAAGTCAGTGACTTCCAGCCAGGCACAGAACCCAAACAACCAATGCACCTGGGCCATAATGTAGAATTATGCAGGTAAGCTTCCACTTTAACGATAGTTGCTCAATTCATGCATTGGGACAGCATTTGATATATTTGACAATTGTACTCTCTTATATATGTATTTGTGTTTGTTGTGATTGTTGATTATGCTAAATTGAAATTTAAAAGGGAGCATTACAGGTCAAAATATAGATATCTGTCAAATTGTAAAGTGAAATGAATTGTCAAATAACAACCTCTTAACTATGTTTCTAAATAAATAGTTGTTACATTTTCTTTGGTTTTGTTTCTGTTTCTAGATATAAGGACTACAGAGAGCCTCCCTGGTCCAGCACACCTTATGAACTCTCCAAGGAGTTCTGGGCCATTCTGGCAGCCCGCCTTGCCTTTGTTATCGTCTTTCAGGTTCAGTACAAAACACAGATATCAATATCAAAGCATCTTTTCCTCTCCATGATTTCAAATAGACTTTTCACTCACTTTTGTCATTTGTATTTTAATGTAGAAAAAGATGCAAACATGCAAACAGGTCATTCATATTTGATTGATTTATGGTCTCTCAGTGAAATAATGAAGTTATTAGATTAGTGAAAATGTTATGATTCTTGGAGAGGAGTGAAAAAAACTTCCCAAGCTAAATGTCCAGAGTAGCCTATTAAAGTACAATCACATTTCAAACAATAGAAAAACTATAGTTATAAATTGAATATTAAGATAAAGATTCGACTGGGCCGGTGCACCCCTCCTTAGACGACCTGGTGGTCCCGGGCTCCCATTTCCCATTAGGGAAACATAGTAGACTCAGCGCGTCCAATGTCAAATTGTGGGGACATATCAGGTACATAGGCCTGAGGCTGGCAAAATGAAGTAAAGCCCATACAAGGAGATACTGAGCCACCTGCAGTGAATGGATTCATCTGCTGTCTCCTTGACTATTGTCAAGATAGGCAGCAGATTTTCCTGGCAATACAAGGACACTACTGTCACTCAAAAACTTCAGGAAATTGTGGTGTGCCAATTGTATATCCCAGAGCTCAAGCCGGTCTCATGCTGTGGAGATCCAACTCACTGCTCTTTATTGCCACACTGTGTGTGACCCAGAGGGTGAAATATCATTCATTACCTCCTTGGGATATGAGGCCATGACTGCAATTCAAAAAAGGCATTGCTTGGACCTCTTGGCTTTCCTAGATCTGTAAACCCTTGGATCAAAATTGATCCCATTGGTCAAAATTGGGAAGGGCTGTGATCACAGGAGGATCAGTAGCTCTACTGATGCCACTGATGTTAACACACCAAACAGCCTGAGAAAATGGCTGTATTTAAACCTCCTGTTGATTAGGAAATGGAAGAGAATCTGGAGAATGGTTTGCAGTTACCATGGCCAGGGTTCAGGCTTAAACCAATGAACAGAAAACGTGTGGCATAATTGATGGAAAGGTGGAGGATTCACACAGTAGAGTTGCTGCTCCTTTGGATCAAAAAGAGTCTGTGTATTTGGATTGAGCATCTAATCAGAATAGCTACTGAGTGTCTTCCATAGGGGGGGGGGGTTTCTAGACATGTCCATCAGGGAGAACCCTGGGTAAACACAAAACTGGAGGCATCATATAGCCTCTCTTCCCCGTAAACAACTTGAGATCTCTCTCTCTTCCCTCCCCACTATCTTTCTCTCTTCTCTCCCCTCTTTTCCACCCATCTCTCCTCTCCTCCCCTTTTTTCTTTGCTCACCCCAACCGGTCGATGCAGATGACCGCCCACATTGAGTCTGGTTCTAGAGGTTTCTCTCTGTTAATGAGGGAGTTTTTCCTCCACAGTCTCCAAAGTGCTGTTCATTGTGGGAACTGTTGGGTTTCTCTATATTAAAAAGATTTTAAGGTCTTGACCTTCTGTGTAAAGTGCCTTGAGATAATGTATATTATGATTTGGCGCTATACAAATAAAATTGAATTGAATTGAATCTCCCAGGAGGAGCAGGAAAGTGTTGCTGGTGAGAAGGATGTTTGGAAAACCATGCTTAGCCTGCTGCCACCTTGGCCGGTAAAGCAGTACTGCTAATCTGCTAACTGATCACAGAAAATTGGGAAAACACAACTTATTTTTTAGGTACTCAGAGAACAAGCAAAAAGAGGAGTTAGCGCATGCAGACAAACTTGTATCATCCCAGCCTTTAGAGGACAAAACTGTAGCTCAGTTATGTTATTGCAGTGCTTCAAGCAAAATAGAATGAATGGGCTTTCTCTTCTCTGTGGGTCAACCTGCATTTGCAGCTTACCTGCAAGAATATCTAGGGGACATCATTAATAAATTTGTGGGCTTATATACGTATGTTATGTCCTACATCATGCCAGGTCACACATGACTTTGAATTGTTATCAAATACTTGACCTGCGTGACTCTAGCAGTCAATTAGGAAAAATTAAATGGAACAACTCATTCTCTTCTTGAGAAATGAAAAGAAAAATGTATAGGCAGTAAAAAACACATTTGCTCAACCAGAGGTTTATGATGGATAATGTGAGCAAACTTGTATATTTACTCAAGACAAGATTTAAACATACCATAGCAAGTGACTGTTTTAAGTTTAATTGGCTTCCCTCAATGTTACTATGCAAGTAACTCAATGTCTAGGTTCTTAATGACATGTCAATTTCTAAGATGTTCCAATCAGCTCTTTGTCTACTCTTTCCTGTGCAGAATGTGGTGATGCTTATGAGTGACTTTGTAGACTGGCTAATCCCAGACATCCCCAAGGACATCAGCCTCCAGATCCACAAGGAGAAGATCCTCATGGTGGAGCTTTTTATGAAGGAGGAGCAGGGCAAAAGACTTGCAGCGCGAGACAACCACAACCAGGACAACTGCACCTCCACCTCATTAGCTAATCAAAGCCCACCACAGCCGCGCTCACGGCCCATCTCACATGCCAACTGCTGTTAGGCTGCTTGCTGTGAGATAGAGAAAAATAAGCCAACACCCCAACTTGTATACTAACTGTAAATAACTTTATCAGCTGCTTATAGCTAGCTGGTAATGGTTAATGCGCATACTTCAACATATGATCACTTTGTTATAAATATTTTAGCTTTTATTACATTTAAATTGTTTTGGAATATTTTCTGAAGTGACCGGACTTATTTTGAAGTGTTCACATTAGAATTCTTTCAGCTGATTAACTGGCTGTTTTTGCTTGTTTGTTTTTAACACTTTCAGTTAGTTTGTTCCATTTTTCAACAAGCCAGACTTAACCTTATCAGGCATTAACAAACATCCAGGAAGTAGCAGACATGGTATTAGTAGCCAATTACTCAACCACAGGATTTATGATCACAAAACATTATTTATTGGATGTAATTAAAAGGAACAAGCCATTATCTTCATAAGACTCGGGGGAATTCACTCATTGATGTAAGCATTCAGGATGTCTGAGAAAATAACACAAAACCTTTAACCTAATATGAATCATATTTTTGAGCATGAAGTTCATGCCGAGCAACTAAATGCAGTTTTTGTACTGGAAACTGCCTTTCAATCCATCCAAATGGCCTCGATAGCTCGCAGGTGAGATACAACACCATTAAATGCTATCAATATAAACAGCTCAGACAGGCCTTTTTCTGTTTTGCACAATTCTATACAAATGCAGGAATTTATTGATGTTTTTCTTTAATATGCAACATGGTCAGGCACTTGTGCTTTTGTTGTTCGGACACAGGTTTTGAAGGACCAGAAACAAGCCTGTTGATTTGTACTATTCTCTTGTGTGAGTGCCACAGTGCTTATTGTTGAACAAACAGCCTAACAGTGCTCAATGGCATTATTCCTAAAAGCACAAATCATATAATTATTCATTGTAATGAACTGGAATTAAAGCTGCAAGATTGGCAAGATTTAAAGTATAAATACAAAGGGATGTCATGATGTCCAGATAGTCAGAAAATTAAAATAATTCCAGTAGTTTTTCCCGTGTTTCTGCTGTATAATCTATATTTTGTCTACAGCAGAACAGCATATAACACTGACATATTATCACATTATAAAACTTGATATGGTGAAAGTAATTTGCAAAAGTAATTTACATGTCCAACACAAATCAGCATTAGCATTCATATGTTTTTCCAGTGTCTATCAGTCAAGTTATCACTTTAGTTCATTCAGTTTAGTTTACCTTTGAATAACTTGTGACAGGCAGATTATGTAAAAACAGCAGCTTGCTGCCGTTGGAAAAGAGTTTTAAACTAAAAGACACTAACGCTACTTTAGTGCGAGCTTAAAGGTTTAGTATGTAAGATTTAGGTGAAGTGGATCTATTGGCAGAAATTGAATATAAAATAATCCTATTTTGTCACCTATTGTGTTTCTTTTAAATTGTAGGAATTGTTGTTTTCTTTACTCTAGAATGGACCAATAATATTTAAATACTTTATATTTACATTGGGAGTGTGTTTTTTACTGTAGCCCAGAATGGACAAACTTAACACGTTTTGATTTTTTATAATGACTGAAGGCTGCCACAGGTTCTCTTTCATGTTTGAAAGGGGGGGTGAGGTGAGGGGTATCCAGCAACTTCACCACTAGATGTCACTAAATTCTACACACTTAACCTTTAAGTTGAATTTAGGAGTTGAAAATTCTCTTTGGGTTTGAATTTTAAACGTATTGGTTGAGCTGTTAAAATCACCATGACTTCATACCCATACTCCATTCATAGTGATATTTTGTAAACAAACAGTAGCTACTTTGTGTAGTGTTAGCAACTTTTAATGAAATGAAATGTTACT